CCAGGGCCTCAAAGATAACGGTGCTCCCTTGCCAGTCCTAGACAAAGAAAGTGTGATTTCTGAGGAAAGCATCACTGTCCTGCTGTCTGCAGCTGGACAGTCTCCAGGGCTGCAGTGAGGTTTTGGTCTGAGTACAGCTCTGGTGGCTGGAACAGAAGTTAAGCTGCAGATGTGCGCATGTGGAAACTGTTTTGGGAATGGAGGGAGCAGTAAGCAAACCTGCAAAACATACTGCTTTGATATCTTTTGTAATGATGGTGTTCCCTAAAGTACAGGTTTCCTCATTGCCTAGTCCAAGAGCAACTCCTGGGTCCTCTCTGTTCCAATGCTGAGTGTCCATGGAGAGTTTGAGTGGAGGAGGGAGGGGCTGTCTCCTAGCTAAGACAGTCATGCAAGGCAAAAACCTCAATGCAGGAGCAGCTGCCACGAGTTATGCAAAGAGCCTGGGGTCTGTCAACTCCAGGTGAGCAATTTCCCCCAGGTTTATAGGTAAATGTGCTTCCAAGGAGAAAGCCATAGACTTGAATGTCATCGTAACTTGTGCTTGTGACATCTTTGCCCAAGAACACAAATTGAACATTTATGTTCTTCATACTTTGGAAAGAAAGAAATAGACTGAGCCACTTCTTCATGCCTTGACACCTTATAACTTACATATACATACCTGATATGTATATATCATGTTAGAATAATACGTTGTTATCCTACTATGCTAATCAGGATAGACTAGATAACACATTAACCCCAAAATATTGACTTATGATAAAAGTTTACATGGTACTTCACAATCCACTGTAAGTAGGGTCCCTCCTGAACAACTACTTCAAGAAGTGACTTTGGAATTCATTCTCCTTTCACCTTAAAATACCATCATCTTCAACATTTGGCCTTCACAGTTGCCACAGAGGGAGGTGAGAGTACAGCGCATATACTTACACACAGTGGGATTTGTGGCGAAGTCTGCAAGCACTCTCCATTACTTCTGCCACATTCCACGCAGAACCTGATGATAAGGTCCCATCCTAACTGCAGGGGAGGCAGGGAAATGTTGCCTTTGTGTGTCAGGAAGAGAAAAATGAAATTGAGTCACCAGTCTATCTTCCAGTTCATATAAGTTAAAGTTATTACATAGTATTTTTCTTCTGATTATGTTTTGCATGTGACACTATTTAGTCTGTCTCCTTGCCCTGCGCTGTTTTCTATGACATCCACATGCAGCATCCCATTTCTCACAACAGCTCTATGAGTTGTCAGGACAGGCATCATACACACACTTTATAAATCAAGGACCCTGAGATCCAGAGTAGTCACATGACTCGTCCAAAGTCACACAACTCTCTCTCACATTAGTGGGCCCTCCACTATAGCACACTGTCTTCCCCAGAAGCTCAAACTAAATTAGGCACAGATCTCAGTATACAAACTCAAGTATGCAAGAAGTATATCTTTATTCCATTACAAATCAACCTAATTTTTTGCCCTATCTGGTTTGGCTCAGTGGATAGAGCGTCGGCCTGTGGACTGAAGGGCCCCAGGTTTGATTACGGTCAAGGGCACATGCCTGGGTTGCAGGCTCGATCCTCAGTGTGGGGCGTGCAGGAGGCAGCCGATCAGTGATTCTTTTTCATCATTGATGTTTTTATCTCCCTATCATTCTTCCTTTTTCCTTGAAATCAATAAATATATGTATGTGTGTGTGTGTGTGTGTATATATATATTTAAAGACTGCTTAAGTGGAAAGATTGCGCACTGCTTATAAATAAGAGCTGAAGGAACTCAGACCAAATGACAGGCAAAGAGATGCTGCATTAAAGCAAAACATCACTTGAAAAATATCTGACTTGTACCAAATCCTATTTGCAAAGTGGATTGGATTTTAAAATCATTTCAAAGCACACTAATCTTTCCAAAGAAGTTTGCTTTAAAGAATACAGTTGGCTTTTGGTCAAAAAATGAAGTTTCGGTAATGCAGAGTAACAATTGTATTATAATTACTGGCCACAAAATACCAGGTGCCTAACCAAGCCTTTTCTACTCATTCAAGAGAGCCAAGCCAAACAAAAGTGCCCTGCCTAGCCATACCCATAGTTTATGAGCTCAGTCTTTGTCACCAGGAAGGAATTAATTCAAAGAGCAAAGCCATTATTAGGCACAACCAGGCATTTCTGTTGTAAACACCGTTTGTTAATACATGTTGAGCGCTGAACTTTCTCACATTTGAAAGAGTCCAGATTGAGAGATAATTTAAACCAAGCCAGTTTCAAGGTTATTTTCTTTTCTCTTTTCTTTTCCTCTCTTCTGTTTTCTTTTTTAGATTTCTGACATCATATCTTTGGGATCTTCACAGTAGGGAAGTGCTGGCCTTGGAGTCCAAAGACTTTCCCAGCTATCATTTGAATTAAGGATTGTGGTGTTTTCTTCTGTGAACAGATTGCTTCAGCGCCAAAAGAATGAACTAGAAAAGAACAGGCAAGACATAGGAGTGTTATACGGAAGAAAGATATTAAGAGACTTAAAGATGTACTTCCTCATTATATGTAAGAAAGCTATTTCTTAGATTCCTTGTGCCAGTACCAGGCAGTTTTAAGAGCAGTGGCTTTGTAATACAGCTTGTTATCTGATATTGTGATCCTTCCAACTTCTTTCTTCTTTCTCAAGATTGCTGCAGCTATTCGGGGTCTTTTCTTGTTCCAGATGAATTTTTGGAGAGTTTTTTCTAGATCTTTGAAATATGTTTTTGGTATTTGAATGGGGATTGCATTGAATCTATAGATTGCTTTGGGTAGGATGGACATTTTAATGATGTTGATCCTACCAATCTATGAACATGGAATATCCTTCCATTTATTTATGTCTTCCTCTTTCTCTTTTCTTAGCATTCTGTAATTTTCTGAGTACATATCCTTCACCTCCTTGGTTAAATTTATTCCTAGGTACCTTAATTTTTGTGTTGCAATGATAAATGGGATTTTTTTTTTTTAGTTTCTCTTTCTGTGAGTTCATTATTGGTGTATAAAAAAGCCATAGGCCCTTAACTGGTTTGGCTCAGTGGATAAAGCGTCGTCCTATGGACTGAAAGGTCCCAGGTTTGATTCCGGTCAAGGGCATGTACCTTGGTTGCAGGCACATCCCCAGTAGGAGGTGTGCAGGAGGCAGCTGATCAATGTTTCTCTCCCATCAATGTTTCTAACTCTCTATCCCTCTCCCTTCCTCTCTGTAAATAATCAATAAAATACATATTTTTTTAAAAGCCATAGATTTCTGGGTGTTAATTTTGTATCCTGCTACATTGCCGAATTCATTTATTAAGTCTAGTAGTTTTATGATGGAGGGTTTAATCTCCAAAATTTATAGGGAACTCATACAACTTAACAAAAGGAAGATAAACAATCCAATCAAAAAATGGGCAAAGGACCTAAATAGACACCTTTCAAAAGAGGACATTCAGAAGGCCAAGAGATATATGAAAACATGCTCAAAGTCACTAATCATCCAAGAGATGCAAATCAAAACAACAATGAGGTACCATCTCACACCTGTCAGAATGGCTATCATCAACAAATCAACAAATGACAAGTGCTGGAAAGAATGCAGAAAAAAAGGAACCCTCTTGCACTGCTGGTGGGAATGTAGACTGGTGCAGCCACTGTGAAAAACAGTATGGCGTTTCCTCAAAAAATTAAAAATGGAACTTCCCAGTAATTTGACTCAGTAATCCCACTTGTAGGAATATATCCCGAGAAAATATAAACACCAATCAGAAAGGTTATAAGCATCCCTATGTTCATAGCAGCACAATTTACAATAGCTAAGATTTGGAAACAGCCTAAGTGCCCATCAGCTGATGAGTGGATTAGAAAACAGTGGTACATCTACACAATGGAATACTATGCTGCTGTAAAAAAAGAAGGAATTCTTACCATTTGCAACAGCATGGATGGAACTGGAGAACATTATGCTACGTGAAATAAGCCAGTCAGAGAAAGATAAATATCACATGATCTCACTCATTTGTGGAATATATGAACAGCATAAATGATGAACAAAAACAGAACCGGAGTCATAGAAGCATCAAATAGACTGTCCAACCTATGAGGGAAGGCGGGGGTGGGGGTGGGTGTGAGGGAGTAAGAGAGAAACCAAAGGACTTGTATGCATGCATATGAGCATAACCAATGGACACAGATGTGGGGGGAGGGGAAGGGCATGTGCTGGGAGTTGGGGGTGGCCAGGGAGAGGTCAATGGGGGAAAAAGACTTATATAATACATTAAACAATAAAGAACTTAAAAAATAAAAATAGAAATAAAACAAATAGTGCTATCAGTAGACTATACTTTCCTTCTTCTTCAGTCTCTGGTTTCAACTACCGGTCTTGATTCATATCATAGAGTGAAAGTTGGCTCAAGTCCGACAAGACTGCCCTGCCTGTGGCTACTGTTCCTGCTGTGCAGCTGAAACCAGCCCACCAATCCAGCTCTCTCAGACTGGCTGCCTCCACACCCACCTGCCCCAAAATATCTTCCTCTTAGGATGGCACAGAGCCTCACACCCCATCTTCCCAGCTGAACTCCTACCATTAGAACCACTCAGCTACAGCCATATGCCTTCCTCCCAGAGCCATTGTTAAAATTTCTCTGCAAACCCTATCAACCTTTCCTGTTAACACACCGATGATTAGTTTATCATCAGATTAAATGAACTCAGGACTTGGGTCTAGTGAATTTTGTTTGGGAGTATGAGGGTAAATCACGGACTGTTAGATGGGGCAGTAACGTGAGAAACTGTGTTGGCTAATTCATGCACTGTACAGCTGAGGAAACTGACGTTAAGGTACCCAAGCCTTGACATCTTGATTATGGTTCACCAATTGCCCCTGTTTACCTGGGATTAAGGGAGTCCTGGGGTGTGGACTTTTGGTGCTGAAACCGGGAAAGTCCTGGACAAACCAAGATGAGTTGACCACTCTACTTGATTGGAGCCTTCTGTTTTTCTTCACAGGCTGGACTTGGGCAGGGCCTTGCAGCAGAGCCTCAAGAACGCTCGGTACAGCTCAAAACCCTCGGTGAGGAAATAGCAGCAAACACATATTTGCACCTCACAGCTTTATCAAGGCTGGCTCCCCTGAACGGTCAGTCGCCAGCACCAATAGGAGGCCCCGTGGAAGCACCATGTGAGGTAAAGCTTTGTCTGCCTCCTGACTGACTGTACTCTTTGCCTCTCAGGCCACAGCATCAGGGAAAGCTGGTTAGATGGAGTCAGTCTCTGAAAATCAGTCTGTGATCTGGTTTATTCACTTGAGACAGGGCCACTGTGTCAGCCGCAGCTGTGTGGTTCAGCGCCTTCGCGGAGAGGGCTGCTGCTGTCTCTGCTCCCTTGACTGCCCAGAGGATGGAATGGAGAAGTGCTCAGGCAGAAAGAAGGGTCAGCAGGGTGCCCCGTGCTCCCATCACTTCCTCCTTCAGAAGTTTTGTCATTCAGAGGTTTTGAATCTGGCAATAAGCAGTCGTTGTTGGCTAACTTTGGGCTTTTTTTTTTTTTCTTTCTTAAATGTCAAGTGCCTAATTTTAAAATATTTCTTGGTTTTATTTCTCCTCCTGGTCTATTTTGCTCCCAGCCCTTGGTTGCTTGGCAGTTGTTTCCTCCACCAGGCCTCTGCTTCCTGTTCTGCGGAGACCCAGCCTCCAGCTCATGCCCTGCGCCTGGGGATGAGGATGGGTTGAATAAAGAAGGGAGAAAAAGGGAGAATGGAGGAGGGAATAATGCCAAGATCCCAGTCAGGCAAAACGGTCACATGGTGCCAGTGCTCTTCAACATTCCCTTTCCTGCATGCATTCCTTTAAGCTTCACCCACCCTCCCGCTCCACACCCCTGCTGGAATTGAACATCTTCACGATCCACCCGTGTTCTCAACCACCACGGAAATGCCCTTCTTAGTGCCCGAACCAAGTTACTGGCCAGATAAATGAGTCCCTGCTAACGGGGGTTACAGTCAGAAGCAAAGGCCTCAGAAGTAAATCCTAGCACCCTCCTAGGTTGTCTGGTCACTTTAGTGACCCTAATCCCAGTGGCGGGGTTTTGAAATTGGAGGAAGGAGCCGGAAGCATAGTGGAGAATTATTTTGGGAACAGCCCTGTGATGAGGGTTGCCAGATTTGTCAAAGAAAAATATGGGATGAACAGTTGAATTTGAACTTCACCTAAACAATGAATAAATTTTTGATGTAAGGGCGTCCCTTGCAATGTTTGTGAAGTAATTTTACTAAAAATTATTCGTTGCTTCTCTGAAATTCAAATTTAACTGGGTGTCCTCTATTTTGTCTGAACCCCGTGACCTGCAGTTTCTCCCAGAATACACAGCCTGTATAGTAGAAGGCCAGGTTTGCTGTGGACTTTGGAGCAGTTTCCACATGTTTGGCAGAAGGGAAGAGCCAGCCCATCCAAGAGGGCATCGTGTGGTACAGTCATGTGAAATCTCTGTCCTCCAAGCCAGGGCTGCTGAGGTGTGAGGCATCTGAGGTAGGCCTGAACAGGACCCCCCTGGAGGCTGGCCACGGTGTCAGTAACAAGGGCATGTTGTGCTGGATTCTTTCCCAAAGGTACAGTGTTTGGTTCCGGTGCTGACAACTGACCCGTCTAATACTCATCATACTAGAACAGTGGTCGGCAAACTGCGGCTCGCGAGCCACATGCGGCTCTTTGGCCCTTTGAGTGTGGCTCTTCCACAAAACACCGACTTCTGCACAGGGGCCACCAAGTTTCAATCGCACTGTACGTGCGCGCCCGCACGTGGTATTTTGTGGAAGAGCCACACTCAAGGGGCCAAAGAGCCGCATGTGGCTCGCGAGCCGCAGTTTGCCGACCACTATACTAGAACATGATTTTTAGGTCTGAGGAAGGAATGGCAAGTTTTTTAAAATAAGGTACTAGATATGGAGGGAATCTACATTCAAAAGCTCAGTCAGTCCTGACCAGGAAATGCAATCCCTGGGCCTGTTAACATTACACGTAGAAAGGGTTAGTATGAGCAGCTTTCCAAAATGTAAAAGGGCCTAAAACTGAGGCCCCACTTCTTTTATACACAAAAGTGATTCTACTGGCTTCAAGAAAATTGCTTCTGCCACCTATAGTAACCTTTTTGTTTTCAACTAATGGAGAGGCTGCCTTGTTAGCTGTTATTGGCTTCTGCATTGGATAGACTATGTCTGCTCTTCCAGATCTACCTTCTGTCCTTCTCGCTCCTGCTCTGTGCTATGGAAGCTGACCTTTGCGCACTTCCTTCTCCTGTCTTCTGTCTAGTTCCACCAGTGGGAGTCATCAGCAAGAGACTGGAGTTTGGGAGGACAGATAGGTCAGAAGAATAGTTTTATTGTGGTTGGTATTTATTGAAATGCCTTTTTATAAAAAAGCACACAAAATAGGAATAGATGAGTACTTTTAAAATAAAAATTTTTAATTGATTTTTTTGAGAAAGAGAGAGAGAGAGAAAGACATTGATTTGTTGTTCCACTTATTTGTGCATTCATTGGTTGAATTTTGTATGTGCCCTGACTGGGGATTGAACCCACAACCTTGAACCCACAACCTTGGATCCAACCAACTGAGCTACCCAGCCAGGGCAGATGAGTACCTCTTTAACATGATAAAATACATATACGTTATGCTAAAAGCCAGCATTCTGCTTGATGAGGATTCAAACCAGACCCATTTAAAAATTGATAGACTCAATTATGTAAAAAAAAATTTTAATGCTGTGTGGCAAAAAAAAACCCCACCATAGTTAAAGTAAAAATATGGCTTGAAATTAATATAAAATAGTATTGAATGTAAATTTTGTTTTTAAAAAATAAATGAAAAAATGGCAAACTGAGAAAAAGTATTTTCAACTCATATTACAAATTATTAATATCACATACATACAAACATACATACAAAGCACTACTTGAAATAAATAAGATAAAAAATTGACAACACAATGGAAAAATGGTCAATAGGAATGAATAAACAATTAAAGGGTTATGATACCAATTCCAATGTGTGTTGGGTGGAGGAGTTTTCCCACAACTGGGTGGCCTACAGTTCAACTCAGTTCAGACATCTGCCTGAGATAGTGTCAGATCCTGAAGGGACAGAACGGAACTGATAGCTGTGTCTCTAACTCCTCTCCCAGGAAAGCCACAGAATGTATCAGTTACTCAGCCTGCCCTTATCTCAGCCAATGGGAAAGCGGGGGAAACTAGCCCAAGGCCAAGAGTATGCTAGCCACCCCCCTGTCTTTGTGTAACCAGACCCTAGCTGCACCCTGCCCTTGCGTCACTAGCCCCCAGCCCTCACTCAACCAACCGGAATCGGCCAAATCAGTGGTCAGAGTGTGCCCCCACCCCCGACCCCAAGCCCTATAAATTCTTTGTTCCCTTGGGACTCGGGGCTCTCTTTTGCATCCAGCAATGGAGGCGGGGGGTGGGGGGGACCAAGTCCCGGGCTTGAATAAAAGACTCTATGCTTTTGCATCGGACTCGGCTCCCTGGTGGTCTGTCTTGGGGGATCTTGAAATCTGGGCATAACAATCCCACAGGATAAGAGTTCAGTCCTACAAGACTGTCCACCCTCCATTTCAGATGCCAGTCATAAGTCCAGATTGTCACCTGTGCTTCTAATAGATCAGAAGTTCCAACAACCCCCTCTTTGGGTTTAATTAATTTGCTAGAGTGGTTCATAGAACTCAGAGAAACATGTTACTTACTAGATCACCAGTTTGTTATAAAGGATATAACCCGGGGCATGGCCCGATGGAAGAGATGTATAAGACAAAGTATTGTGAAAGATCTCGAAGCTTCCATGCCCTCTTCAGATACATCCCTCTCCCGGAATCTCCACCTGTCCACCAACCAGAGGTTCTCTGAACCCTCTCCTTTTGTGTTTTATAGAGGCCGCATTACAGGGTCACAACTGATTAAATCATTGGCCACTGTTGACTGAACTCAGTCCTTAGTTCCTCTCCCCTCCCAGAAGGTTGGGGAGTGGGACTGAACGCTCCAACCTTCTAATCAGGCAACCAGCCCCCAATCTTTGGGTACTTTCTCATTAACATAACAAAAGACAAGTTCCCTGCTCTCCTAACTTAAGAAATTTCAAGGGTTTTAGGAGCTCAGTACTAGAAATGTGCCGAAGGCCAAATATATAGTATTTCTTATTATCAACCTAAAAAAACAAACAAACAAAAAAACACAAGAATCCATTTCGAGGCATTTATTTGAAATCAAAGAATTGCAATTTGGGGTATACAGATTTAGGTAGAAAGATAAATAGTCTCAATTACAGGGTGAAGTAAGGGGTTTTTATGAGAAGAAGAAAAGAAATAATGACATGGGGGAGGGGAGGATTCCTATTGGTGCTGTTACACTAAAGTTCTTAGCTAAACAGGACTGGTTACTGATTCTGTCTTCAGGCAGGAGGTCCATAATCATCAGCCCTTGTGATCAGGATGTCTGCTTTCCTGCTAACTTTATAAACAATAGGAGACTTTTTAAAAAATTATGTATTAGGCAAGGAAAGAACTATTTTCTGAGTCCCTGAAGTTGTCTTGTTGCAGCAATGCCAAATTTGTTTAGACCAGTGATTTTCAATTTTTTTCATCTTATGACACACATAAACTAATTACTAAAATTCTGTGGCACACCAAAAAAAATATACTTTTTGAAGATCTGACAAAAAATAGATATAATTTTGATTCATTCACACTGGACAGTTATTGTGATGGCTGTTGTAATTTTTTTTATTTGACAATCAAAGGGAAAAGAGGTCAATGCCCTGAATAAATAGTCAGATATTGCATATTTTAAAAATTCTTGTGGCACACCAGCGTCACATGGCACACTGTTTGAAAATCGCTGGCTTAGATCAAAGGTAAGCAGCTGAAATAAATATTGATCCCCTCTGCAGGCTCACAGTGAGCCAATGGACTTACATAGCACACACAATCCTGTGTGACTTTGGGTATATATAAAAGTGAGTTGGAAAATAATTCTGAATTAAGTCACAATGTGAAAGGGAATGGCAGAGGTCATTAGCTCTAATGTACTAAGTATTACGTGGATTTGAAATTAAGACACGAACATTTCAGCAAATTCTTAGCAGTAGTACCACAGAATTCAGCCAGCAAGGACTTCTAAGTTACAAACATAAAATGTTACAAAGAACACTAAGAATTATTCCTTATTTTCCACTGCCATTATTTTAAATTATAAAAATATTTTCTGACTAGAGCCTGACATTCTACTAGTGCAATAAAGCAAACCTCATATTACAAAGACACCACCCCCCCCCCAAGATCATGTTCCTTTGACTCAGAATAATTCCTTGATGAGTAGAAAATGAATGTTATAAATCTATTAATAAGAAACATTTATAAAACAACATATACAGCTGCCCTCT